AAGTGAAGAGGAAGAAGACGAACCAAAGGCAGCTCCAGAAAACCAGGCGCGTCGGTGCGTCTCCGTCTTCTTCCCAAAGGTCAGAATTGTTCCGGTGGAGCCCAGCACGAACTGCAGCGCCCCCGGCCAGGTGTTGGGTCCGCTACTGCATGCGAGTTTAAAAGGAAAATCAAGTTTACCATCTCACGAGTTCTTATTTTTTATTAAAAATCAAATCAAATATAAGTATTTATGGGAAGGTTTATGTAATAACCCGTGAGAGCTAACTAGGTTGTAATCGTTCACAATTTCTCTCATTTCCTTCACCTGTAATTGCCGAAGTTTAGCTCATGAGTGAAAAAAAAATGAAGAAAAACCAGAAAGCTAAAAGAAAATTGAAGTTCGTGACCTCTTGACAAACTTCTTCAACCTGGAAATAAAGAAGATAACTAAATTTAAAAATGAAATCTAGCAAAATAACATAAAAATGGCTAGGATAGAAGAGTGTCTGTTTGTCCAAGGAAAAAACCACGAACTCTTTTTTCCATTTCCATCTTCTCCATATATTTTGGAAGTGATGCTATACGTACATAATTCCCTACTATCTTAAAAGAGGGAATCCACCATTTACTGTTCATTTGTGAAACTTTTTGTTTATCCAATTTCTTCCATTTTTTTAACCAACTGTTTACTGTTCATTTGTGAAACTTTTTGTTTATCTCATTTCTACCCTATTGTTTCTGAATATTTGATTTCTTCTTTGGTAAGCCACCGTCTACTATACATATACCTACAATTGTTGACTTTACATCCCTACTTTGCTCTTGAAAAAGGCCAAAAAAAAAACGGCAATTCCTTTTACACGTTTTGCCTACAACATCAATTTCAACTTCGCTACATCAAATACCCACTAACTGTGAGGATTTTTGTACACATAATTCCATTGTTGAGTGCAGAAAAGCAATTGAAACTTCAACAAAAAATAAATAAAAAATTCTTGGGTTGTAATCGTTTGTACTAAATTGAGAGATATGTTACAGTTTGCAATTTCTCCTACACCTTCTCTACTTCAGCTTACAACAACTATTTCAGTTTAAATCGACCATAAGCCTTCTGGGGGTTGAAGAGCTGGTACAAAAATGCGAGATATAAGTTACATTTCCCTGATTTGAACTTGTGTGTAAGTTTTCGAATAGACATCCTGAGGTATGTGTAATCTATATTCCTAGAAGACACTGGAAAGAAATTTCATTTAAATGGATGTTTCGAATACGATCCTATAATGTTGTAATGGATGTTTCGAATACGTTCCGATGGATGTTACAATTGCTATTTTTCGACATTACTGATTGCAACTAAGTTTCGTATGATAATGATTGATCGGTAAATGGTAAATCTATTAAGTTGTTTTCTATGGCAATGAGCTTTCCTATGAAAATGATATGAATTAGATTTAAGAATGGTTTTTTTTCATTGCGAAAAAAAAAAAAAAAACAAATCCAATAAATAAATAAAACTTCCGGAGGAGCAATGCATTTGTGCGAAGCTACGCGGAGCATTACTCCGCACCGCGCGGACATTTTTTTAATTACAGTGCAAACAATAATGTACGATAAACATATAGCAAAAAAAAAACTCATTTCTATCTTGTATATTTCAAAATTGTACAACACATTTAAAAATAACATTAATCAAATTTACAAACACTTATTTTTAAATTTAGTTGATAACATTTTCTTACATTTTACACAAATTAAATACAATTTCACTTATTAATAATTTAATTCAAAAACATTAAAAAATATTAATGCCTGGTCAGGTCGATCCTCGTCGAGGACGTTGCCCCTAAACACCCAAGAGGGTCGCTGTCCCCTCGACCCTCGCGACCTGACCAGGTAGGTAGATCCTCGTCGGTGACGTTGCCCCTGAACCCCCGTGACCTGATCGGGCAAGTCATTCCAGTCAGGGGTGTTGCCCCTGAACCGCCACGAGGGGCACTGCTCTCTCGACTTTGAATATCTTATTGCTTGTTGGGCAATCCGCCGTTTATTGTTCATTTATGAAGCTTTTTTCCTATATGCAATCCACTGTTACTTGATTAGTGTTCAAAATAACTTTCTTCCTTATTCAGTGAGTACTATAAATATTTTGCTACAGAGCACGAATATGAATTGTCAAATGTTAGCAAGTTTAGAAAGATTAATATTGTCCCCATTAATTTCTTCATTGGAAAAAATTTAGGCTACAAAAA